TATATATATATTTATTTATATATGTATATTTATATACAAATAGAGGTATATTCACGCATTTGCGCCATATAGGTGCGCATAAAATTGGGTGCGTGCTGTATAGACATATATCCTTTTGTTTAGCTATGTCGTGGATACCTTTCGGGCCCGCATATTCAGTATATGCTATTGCTCTGCGTGATGGCTACACTTTTGTTGAGAATATTATATGCCAGTCTTATGATTATACGAATATACTGCATCCTCGCCTGTCCGATTGTCGGCATCTTCTCAAGAGGTTTCGTACGCATGTAGGCTCAGAAACCCTCGTATTGTGAACGTGTAACTGCATACGAATGTCTGCTGGTGTGATATTTATTTACGTTCGAGCTCATGCATTTGTGCACATGCGCAGACACGCTCGTCCCTGTGTATGTTATGAATACATGTGATTAGAAACGTCTGAAAGTCCTTCGAGTCAGGTATCCTGCCGAGTCTGATCTGACGCAGGTGATAGTAATGTGTAGCAAAAAACGATCGAACGCCCAAAAGGACTCTTGTAACACTGCCATCGCAGCATTTATTCTGTACATCCCCATATCAATTGAACATAGTCACTTTGAGGGACATTCTCATTGAATATGGCTATATACGTCAACGATTTTCGATGTAGTACATCCCCGTACCAATTGAACATAGTCACTTTGAGGGACATTCTCGTTGAATATGGCTATGTACGTCAACAATTGTCGATGTGATAGGGAGAGTCGTATACCATTACCATCGTCGTCGTGCTAGCCCGGGGGTGTCGTCTCCTCTTACCCTGAAGGAGTGACTAGGGTGTATCAAAGCAGAGTATAAGAAATTATAAACTTGTGACCCAGATATCTATGCTTTTCAAACAGCCACCCATTTTCATAGGCTATTAAGGCCCATTTCTGATACCAAGTCACCCAACTCACAGTCATGGTGCCGTTGTGAACACTCTCACAGATATGTCTGGGCGCTGGCGAGTGGGCTGGGCATCTTCTTCGTGGGGTGTGGTGTCACCACAACACACGGGATCATGAGTCTGATGCACCCCACACCGCTGCACGACGTCCCAGTATGTTATTTCTATGGCGTGGCGTGGGTCTGCTATTACTCAGCTGTATCTCCAAGTGTTATTGTATTCATTCCTCATCTGTATCTCCAAGTGTTATTGTATTTATTCCTCAGCTGGGATATTGGCCTGCTGATCAAATTACGCCTACGTGGTCGTGTGTATATGGAATATCTACGCAAGTGTAGATCTCAGAATAATAAGCCGGCATGGGTATTCGTGTGAGCGCGGGTTTACCGTGCGCTTGTTTGTACTTGAATGTCCGCGAGTGGTCCACGCTTTCTTCCAGTGATTGGCCAAGCACACACGCTCCAGTAGTACAAACGTGTTACCTACACCCATACATGCATACGATCACGTTTAGTATCAACGCAAAACGTCAAATGCTAGCGTATGCATTCCGAAACCCTGGATCTCCTAAATCCTAAACCAAACTCTTAAACCCTAGACTAAGACCCCAGAACCCCCCCTCACCTCCAAAAACAACAACTCACACAGGTAGCGTTTGCCGTGCTGGGTCTGTCGGCCGTGCTGGAGGGATACTCTCTGCAAGTGGCCATCAAACAGGTGAAAGAGAATGCCGCGCATCACGACATGACTATGATGGAATACATCCGAGACGGCTCAGACCCAAATGACGTGGCTGTGGTATGATGTAGCTGACACTGGCAAGCGTGTAGACGGAGTTGTCCTGGTGGGGTGTTGTGGCTATTCTCGTATATATATATATATATATGTGTGTGTGTTTGTGTGCTTCTGTATGTAGAGTTTTTACTCCTGCGTATCGGTTCAGCATGGATTGAGTACCTCTATTGAACAATGTAGTGTCAAGGTGTACATGGCTTTTGCAGGCATGTCTGCCACACGTTCTGTTCTGTCGCACTACCAGGAAAAAAACGGTCTTCATTCACACCTCTTTATTTGTCCATTACCACACTCCAGCTTCTCGAAGACGGTGCTGCGGTGGCGGGTATTGGCATTGCAGCCACATGTCTGGGACTGTCGCACTACTACGACTCCTCTGTCTTTGATGCCGTGGGCAGTATCTCAGTAGGGATGCTGCTGGGTGGTTGTGCGACGTTCCTTGTGAAGCGGAACATGGATGCCCTGACCGGCAAGTCGGCGGATACTGACCTGCTGATGCGCGTAGTGCGCGAGATGGATAGTGTATGTTACTCAGCGGTGGTGTTGTTGGTTGTTCACGTATCTGTATTACGTATTTTGGGACTATCCGCTTCAGTGTGGTGCGTGTCTGTGTATGCCTATCTGCAGTATGTGCGGAGGTGCATGGGCGTACGAAGAAGGTTTGGTGTTGTCGGCTTTTGTCTATAAATGCGTGGGATGTGGCGATGTCACCAATCATTGGAGGCGTATATATATATGTGTGTGTATGTAGGGTTTCTTGGTGCGTGTGGCTGAGATGAGCGCTCTCTTGCACTCTATGAAGGAGATGTGCCGCTCGAGGTGCTCGTCACATACCACAGCTCTCAACCCAATCCATTGGCTGCGATAGAGACATCCGCAATCAATAGACACTCGATACCTTTATACACAAATTGATATGGCGGACGGGTTGCCCCACTGTTTATACGATGCTATAGAGATAGTCTGTGTACGAGTGCTTTTGTGTGGGGATCGCTTGGTTTGAGCATAGTATGTGACCTACAGCAAAACAAGCGATTACCATTACATCCAGAGGTGCATGGTGTGAGACCCCACGCCTGCCATAAATTAACATTGCACACAGACACACACACAACTTTGTCATTCAAGACGGGTTTGCTGTAGCTTGTTTGCAACACCCACACCGCTGCACTGATTCCTGACCAATTGGCAGGAAGTGATAGGCACGTCGAACGTGTAGTGTGCATTAAGAGTCCTATAGGTGGTTGACGTAACAGTGGTTGGTGTTGCGGAGTTTCACCGGAGCATTCGACTCACACCATGTCAGGTCAGCTCATGGACCTTGGATGAAAAAAAGCACTCGCTCTACGCACCTCTCTTCTGGGTGAGGATTGTAATGTTTGTATATTTGCTTCTCACACGGATAGTTTTGTACTGTTCAACTGCCCAGGATCCCGCGATCAACTCCACACACGACGTCAAAGCAATCCAAGTGGGTGCAGAGGCTGTGCGTTTCAAGGTAGGCGGTGTGCGCTTAGTTTAGTGCCACTCGATA